GATTCGAGCCCAGGATCTATCTGTCTCGTGTGCAAACGTTTAATCTCTAGACCGCTGAGCTGGCCCGCATCTAACAGTGTTAATGTATAATTTCATCCAAATTCACATATATATTTGTCTATTCATGTTTAACAATGAATTTGTAATAATTTGTCAAAGTTAAATAGCTAGAGAATAGTAATATTTCATAAATTAAAAATGAAAGAAACAAATTTAAGTTTGCTAAGGAAAAAAGATATTTGATTTATTGTTCCCATGCTCATTGTAGCTTATGAAAGCTATTTAGGTGGAATGAAATTTAATTACAAATAAGTCAAGCTATATTATTTCTTCAATAATTATAGGCTAATGGAAGTTCTTTAAATAAAACATCACCTATTGATAGTAATGCAAGAGATTTGAAAGCCAAATAGTTTTTTTATTTTGTTTTAGAAATTCAATTCTGAGAATATTCCGCTACTAGTTTGGTTTATGTTACTTATATCAACAGACGAGTTGTACAATCGGATGCATTTGTATACAAATTTACACAACCTCTTAGTAAGAACTGAGAACCATATAGTAAATAATTCATATGCCAATTGATCGTCTCAGACTTCATTGTTCTTTCGATTTCACACCAATCATTCTTTATTCTCGCTTTCTTTCCGATGATCTTAACCTTCTGCCTCCATGCGTTCCACACTCGACTGATGATAAATTTTACTTATATCTGTCGACATCAGTAGCACACACCACTGTAAGTTACACAAATCAAAAGTTGAATGGCTGTCAGCAGAAAACTAACAAGATCGAGGTAAAGAGAATAGAAGAAGAAATGGGAAGAAATTATGAACTAGAAGAATCATATAGAGTGTGAAGGACAAATAATGAAAATTTACAAATAAATTATTCAGTGTATGGTTCTCATATTGTATCAAGATATTCTGTAATTTTCTTTTAAAGCACATTGGTTATCCCCATTTGTGTTCTCGTTCACTTCACTAGTTTACAAAATACTTTAAATGGAAATATACGGTAATTTCTTTTAGTAAACGAGCAAACTTGAATAACAAGTATCACTACTTGAATTTTGATTTTATTCTCTGTATTGAACAATTAGTCTCTTGTCATTGTTTACAATAATAAAACTTTATTATCCAAAATAGATTATTACCCTTCAAAAAGAGAAAGTAAATTTTTCATTGATTCCTACATTTAAATAAAACCTTTGATGAATGCCAAAAACAGATGAATTGATAAATTTAATTTATTAGTTTTGTTTAGATTTCAAATCTTGTGTATCTGGCTTGATAATTTGTAGATAATAAACATATTTAGCTAAGATATTAAAGAAATAAGAATAAAATAAAACAATTTACTGATAATGAAGATGTAGATCTCGTTTTTGTAGAAAAAAAGTCGCTTATGAACAATTTCATATAAATTTACAAATTCACCGCCTACGTTCTTATTATTTACTAAGTGAACCTGGTGCTATCAGAGGAATCGTTGAAAATTACAGAGGATTAGTACAGTTGTTTGACCAAGTTCAACAAATAACTAGTCAGTCAGTCAATCACCTACAACGTAAGTTCATGTACTTACGTGCGTCGTTCCAAGTTGCCATACCTCGTTAGCACATCAGGATGAACACCGGACCGTTGTTGGTACCTTGATGTGGTGGTCGGGCTTGCCTATTGTGATGAATCAATCAAGCTATACTGGTTGGAACAATCGTTCGTCAAAGTCCTACCATACCAGACAGGTCGGTTGAAGAACAGTAAGACTAAAAGCAGCAAACCCAAAGGTCCGAAGGCGAAGTCGTACTGCTGACTGTACAGAGGTGTGACAGCAGTAAGGTGTTTCTTTCAGACGACCAGCATAACAGCGATGCTGCCTTCCCACAAGAAGGGGTGGGGCTAGAAAAGGTCGACCCTGAAAACTCACACCTCACCTTATCCCACGGACATCTATCTCCAGTGGTAAGCTCCCAACAAGTATAGAGCTAACACGAAAATCACTCACAAAACGGTCGTGTGTGACCGACCTCAAGCAGTTGTCCCTTGGGCACTCAGGTCTCTAATACCACTTTTAATTCAATTTCCTTTTCTGGCGCCTCTAAAAGAACCCTTCCATGGTGTGGGAAACCGTGAAATGATAACCGCCCTCATACTTCTAACAGCACTCAAGACCACTGTATTCATAATCAACCTCCCTGTTCGATTCCTATTATTCCTCCTACATCGACTTTCAGCTCAAAATTTCCTCTTTTTGCTTCCTCCTCAAATGTCACCATAGCCAACTAATGACTATTACTAGTATTTTGGTGATTTTACAATTTAACAATACAGTTGAAATATATAAAGATCTTATTTATCATCTTCTTTCGATTGGTAACATAGTACAATCATCAATCAATATCATCGACGAATTAGAATATTCTGTCTACTGACTAGTATGAATTTGTTTCTGGTTTAACCAAATCTTAAATTACCTGGTTATAAAATTTTTTTTTGAAATTTCTCTAACCTACCGATTTCAACAAATTTATTAACAAACCTTTCAATCTATAATTAGTTACATTAACTTCGAATTACATAATTAGCTAAAATAATGATAATTCAACTATGTCGCATCAAATGGTTAAACACATATCTATCTTTAATTATATTAATATATTGGATACCTATAAAAATCCCTGGTTAGTTAACTTATTTGTGTATAAGGAAGTCTTACATTCTTTTCTCTCTTTTGATGATGATGATAATAATATCGGTCATTTTAGATTCTTTAATATAAATTATATTAATAAACTATTATCTTTTCACTCTTGTAATTAATACATTTTGGAGGTCACTTTAATCTGTTGTCCAATTTTTTTTGGATTTTTAAAAAATATGAATTTTAGCTTAACTCTGGAAAACTTAGTTACTTATTGTAATTTAAAGTTTATAATCTGTCTAAATACTCAAAATTGTATAATAATAAAAACTATTAATATAGATTTGTGGATATTGTTGAGTTTAGATTGATATCATGAATGAATTAATGTTAACTTGAAGGTCCTGGGTTCGAGCCCCGCGTGCGGGATTTTGAATGAGCACTGGTGAGAAGTCTCATATTTAGATGAAACGGCTGTCCAGTACTTCCAAATTTTCAGTGGTGGTCTAATATTGATTCGCTCATGATATTAAACTAATAATAAAGATATCAGAAATTCTATAATTATTTTTATATCACTTAGATTTAAAGCAAATTTCTCAAGTGTTTTACATGTATAAATATCCGAAAAAGAGTTACTACATGCTGAACTTTTGCAAGAGCGAAGTTAGCATTTGTTTCAGGCAATTTATTCAAAAGTAATTAATTTTCTTTACATTTTCTTGTTAATTAAAAAACATTTAAAATAAAATTGATTGTACATTAATTGTCTCGTAATATATATATATATATATATATATATATACTACGCCTGTTACCCTTCGTGGAGGAGCATAGTCTGCCAGTAGCTCTTCTAGGGTTACTGCCTGTCCCAAGCTCGGATAAAGGAGGAGAGTTGATCATGGGGTCAGCAATCCCATCCCGTATAAAAACAGCTTTATTAGTAAGACACTAACCAGAATAAATAACTATATATAGGGTTGTGCAGTGAACTGGATGTATTTTCAGGTCATCTACATTGTTTCACTTGTGTTTCTTAATTAGCTCTAATGACTTTTCAAGTGAATTCTTTACAGATGTTAAATGTTTATCTTTAATTTATTTTAAACAGTATAAAGATAAAAGAAGCAATAAAATGTTTTTTTTTTTTTTGTTTTTTTTATAGTGATAAGCGTTAACTTCTTGTTATGTAACAGTTATATTTGTCCTGATTTTAAATAAAATATAAAACTCCACTGTATTGATTTCTTCATGAAATACACACAGTACATGTAAACTGATTACAAAGTTTTCTGATCAACTCACACCAAACATAATCCATAAGTACATTGGTTGATTCAACAATAATACTTAATGTGATGTCACAATCTCACGAGACCCTAATCTTAGAATCTTCATCATAAAACTCAGTTTACTTTCAAATTATTACCACTAGTGACTAGCTTTGAGATGTAATTATTGGAGTTCTAGTGAAAAGCCGTGACCAATGAAGCTAATCTGTGTCGAGTGTGAAGCAGTTGCTCACCACAAAAAATGGAAGATCGTCGTACAATTTCATAGATTAGTTGAAGCTAGATATTAACACTGTTAGATGCCGGCCAGGTCAGTGGTCTAGAGGCCTAAAGCTCCTAGTTTGAGTTCCGAGTGCATGATCGTGGATAAGCATTGATAAGGAGTTTCAAACTAGGACGAAACGGCCGTCCATTATTTCCAGGTTTTCAATGGTGGTGTAACACTGATCGATTAATGATCTTAATCTCTGCAACCTCATACTGATTATTATTAATTAGTTTAACTAATTGATTAGATTAATTAAATTAAATTATCAATTAAGTTATCACTGAATAAAAAAACGAAATTTCTATTTCAGTTTTGTACTATAATTTGACTAATAACCTAAAGTGATTTTCACCTAATGAAAGACTACTTATATTAATCTGTAATCTCTTTTAGAATTCTTTGATTTATTTGAAAAAAAAACCAGAAATATAAAATAAACATTAAATAGAGAATCCTAAAGTATTTCATAACAAACCATTAATAGTATGACATTTAAAATAATGGAGAAGATTTCTAGCTCAGGTGGATAATTTTGATTAAGTTTTATTCTCTAAGAGTTGAATAGTTTGGTTATGATACTTCTATCTGAAATTTATGCTGATAATATTATTCCAAAAGAATAATGAAATCTTCACAACCAAACTATCTAGTTCAAAGAACAAAATTCCATTAAAATCAATAAAATTAATTAATATTTAAATATAAATAAAAATTTATAAAAAAAACAAAACAAAAAACAAAAAACAAACCAAACTATTTATAGTAAATATATAATAAAATGTTACTTGACAACATACCTATAAATCATTTTTATTTGATCTTGATTATCAAATGATTGCATTTGTTTTATATTTTCATTTTAATCATAATCATGATAGATTTCATTTAGATTCATATTATTATAATTCAATATTTCCATTATAATATCATTATAATTCATATTAAAATATTAATATTCTAATTATATTCTCATCAATATTCTATTTCTTAACTATCTATCAACTATAATATAATATTTGAATCTTCTTAAAAAATATATATAAGAGTAAATATAAAAAAGTGAAAGGATTATCTATTTTCTTCTTTATTCATTCAAAATAAATATACACAAGGTTAAATACACAAACAATACAATCATATTTTATCATTAAACTATTGGATAAAATTCATTATTACTATTTAGTTAGGCAATCATATTATAGTGTAAATCTCCCACATATTTTTAAATGTTCAATTTACTTTATTTGATTGGTTGAAATATAACAACAACAACTAATGTGAATTATAGATACATAACGATAGTGATCCAGAAATAATGACAGTATAAAATAACAAATACTGCCTGAAGAAGAAGAAGGAAAAGAAAAATGGAACTCATACATTTCTTTTTATTAAAGAGCTATGAATGGTTTAGATAATTAGAAAACATAAACCAGTAATGCTTGGAAAATTAGTCTAGAATCAACAAATAAACAGGAAAAAAAGAGTTAATATCCAATCCGGAGAATTATATATTGAGTTTGGATTAGATCCGATTAAATTCTTCATTTACATTCTGAATAATCTACGATTATATATTTGGTGATTGGTGAAGTACAGAAAAATATTAATTTTCCTCCATAGTTTTGGTATTCACTTTGTTGAGACAACTGAGTGAAATTAAAAGTAAAGATAATAAGGTAAGACTATAATTTATGAACGACATTTGAACTAAATGTGGGTTATGAACCTGTATGAGGAATTAAAATTATGATTTACAATTGATGATCAAGGTCAGGAATTAGATGTGGGGTTTTCATTACGAACTCATATCAGCTATAATGCCAAAACTCTATTTAGCCAAATGGATGAATGAATTCCGTGCCAAAATCCAAGACCTCTTATCTTATACCTGATTAGTTCGTCCATAAATTATAGTCTCGCCGATAAATAAATAAATGAGTTGATTGATTGATAGAGTTACCATTTCGACCGTTTAAGACTTGTTTAACTCTTCAGAAAATGTGGTTAAAATAGAGAAGAACATATGCTATATATATATATATATATATATATATATATATATATATAATTCTTCATAGCACCGTTTATTTGTTAAGTAAATCATTAAATAAGAAGTAATTAAAGATTGTTCAAAGGGTACTTGTGAATAACTTTCAGTGTTGCTAGGCGGATATATAGTATTGACGATTGTTCTATTCTAGCTCGTCTAATCGAGAGAGAGTACTAGACAAAATATAACATTTTTTGAAAAAAACTACCATGTTATTAATAATCTGTCAAAAGCTAACTAGCTCCAAATCATTAAACAACACATGTAATTGGTTAATCCCCTCTCCACTGTTGCCGCTTGCGTTAGTTCATGGGGAGAAAGATCACCCATTATCCAGAGCGCACTACACGGAGGTGCAAGTTGGACTTTGCCTCCTTCCTCAATACATGCAATATGAATTCAAATTCGAAACGAAAGCAATCAGTTCAAAAAGAGCATGTTGAATCTCATTTCTTATTAGTGGTTTGTCTCAGACCAAAACATTTGTAATCAAATCTGTTATTAATTGTTCCAATATATTTATTCATCGATCTATTTATCCTGCATATTTCTTCATTTAACATGTATTCAATTTAGTTGTTGTTAATATATATTTGATCAATGTATCTAGTACTGATCATATTTACTATCCCCTATATTAATAATTTTATTTCATTTACTGTATAACATTCGATCGAACATTCAATATGTTTATTTTTATTATTATTTCTCTAAACATGTTTCCAATGTTGATTTCGGCCATTAAATTCAAATTTTATTTACATAACAAACCTACTCCAGTATAGAATACATATATTTACGCCATCTTAACAATCGCCAACTACAACAAACTTTATTACAGATTTCAAATGTATATTTAGTTATTAGAAGACAAGTTTATTGTCTTAAATACGGTTATCCGTTAAGATCAATAATGGATACTAATCACTGTAGAAAATGAAATGAATTTACTGGTTAGACATATTCTTCGTTCGAATATCGATGCCAATTTTCGAATAGTTCTTTAGTCTCTTTATAGACGGTATTCTTTAAGGATTGACTTAAGTTTCAGTACCGATGAAAACCAGAGAGTACTATATAGGTCTTTTTTATATAGGATTCCCCACAAGTAAGCAGTGAAAGTTCAACTTTTAGAGTACTTAGTCTCACCGGTCGAACTTCTAAACTCAATTGATTTCTAATTTAGGATAAGAATTATATAGCGTCATCAATCATAATTATACCACTCCTGACACTGTTGGTTTCTAATATTACCTTAATTTGTGTCAGACCGTTAGAAATAAATTACAAGAATTAAAATAACCTCATCGAAATTATCTTGAGCCAGCCATACAAAGGACTTTACTTTTGCATATTCTCTCAATGAATAAAACCAGGTAACTTCTAGTCATGATCAGAAAACAAATTCACACAGCCTATTGACTGGTATCAAGATAGTTTAGGTATTCCAACTTTATTTATTTCCCATGATGGTGCTCTCTTCCTTCGCTGTTGTCATTGTCTTAGTATGATGCCAGTTAAAAATTTATTTTCGACAGTTCTTTGGGCTCACTACTTTACTTGTTTGTTGTGTAGTCATCACAAGTATAAATCACTATTGCCACACTATAGCTTTAACATTTTATCTTTTTGGAATATTGTTTTGACTGTAACTAACTGCAATGTAGAACGCACGTTTTATTCCATTTGCGACTACTTAGCTGTATTTACCAGCCTTTTATAATCGTAAAAATCCACCTGGAACTGATAACAAAGATTCGTTGTTATCCACAATATAAATTTAGTGACAACAAACAAAATTAATACATTATTCTGTTGTTGTTATCAACTGAATTCCGATGTGAAATGCTTCTATTTTCCACTTTTATAAACATTCAACCACTATAAGAGACCGTTTTAAATTCATTGAGTATAACAGTCAAAATACGACGAGACAACTTTAGATAAATTGAACACAGTTGATATTCTGCCAAGATTCTTTCAAATCACTACAAGATATCTTCATAAAGAGGTAGACTTATCGTGTTGTGTCGTCATGTATACTTAATTTTGTTTACTTTTGAAGTGATTTTGAATGTTAAGAGTACTTGAATGTTTTTCGATAAACAATTAAGAGATTTTAGATAAGTTGATTATTTTTTCTCTCACGTCATTTTTTTAGTTGAATTACTCTTGGAAATATATAAACGCCGAGAGAAGTAAACTAAAATGAAAGATACATGGATTAGCTGATATGAAGATAATCATTTTCATGAGTTGATATCAGTTAAGAAATCTCTGAAAACCAGCTAACATTGAATAGCTGACTAGTCATAGTCTGTGATTACTCTTCAGAAGTGTACAGCCATAACGTAGTGTTTAGTGAAAACCATGACTTATAAGTCTCACAACAAGAATAACTTCTCTAAACTGTTGATTTAGAATAGAATGTGCCTTACTTCCAACTTCATTTTATTTCCAATATTTCGAGATATCGAATTCCGAAATGGAACAATATCTATTCAACTCTCTTCATAGTTCTTAGAGCGTTATAGAGAGAGGGAGAAAATTTTTAGTATTGAGCAGTATGTTCAAAATTTATTTTTGGGAAAAAGTTTAGTATAAACAACCTATGGTACAACCATTCGCTTTCCCAATTATTTAAACTTGATTTGAATGAAATATGGATTAGTGAAATTTTGAAAAACATTTTAGACATTCATTTTTGTGTTGGTTGATTGAATCTTCCCAGGACTGTAATCGGTCAGTCTCATATTAGCATGTGTGCATCATCTGAGGATCACCTCAATATTGCCTTAGATCACAAGCATTATAAGCAGAAATAGATGAAGGCTAGCAGTGAAATCTAGGACGCGTGTTTCGTTCAATGTGGGACTCGTCAGCTGGATGTGCCTGCATCCCAGAGTTGGTTTTCACGCAGGGACTCGAACTCAATATCTTACGCCTTAAACGCCGTTGCGTTTTCCACTTAGCTACTGAGTTCAGGTAGCAACCAGCTTGTCCCAGAGTAGACATCAAATCTGGGATGCAGGTACATCCAGCTAACGAGTCCTAAGTAGGACGGAACACGCATCATGCTGGCCACCATCCAATTTATGGACAGAATGCAACATTGCAAATCCTGTTCAAATGAACATTGGTTGTTCTTTATCATTTTGAATTGCGAAAGTTTTAAAGCAAGTATGTGTCATAAATTAACAATTTAATGCTATTACGTTTAGCAACTTAGCATCAAAAATTTAAAACTTCTAGGAATTGTAGCTTCTTGTAAAACAAGAGAAAAACAACTTAACACATATATTAAGTCACGTAAACAATGTTTTGATCTTTAGAACACAACTGAGCTGTTTTAGACTTACATTACACTTAACATTATATTGCAGATTCCCCTAGTGTTTATCGATCCATATCGTTTTCAGTATAGCTAGATAACACTTTGAACATGATTTTTTATTCAAAATTAGTTCATAAAAAATAAACTCTTGCGGAAATAATGCTTAGTACATATTGATCCCTTAATAATATTGAATATTATCTTTAAATGAAATCCATCTTTATTGCATACACCATGGTGTTTTACAATCAATGAGCATTTTCACGGAGTTTTGAACATGTCATTGTAATTATATGGAATACAGAGGGTGATCTTCTATTCAACCTTAAATGACTATAATAACTCTGAACTACATTTGATATATATTTTGCCGTAATGTCTAATAACGGTTAAAGTTAATTCTAATTTTTAACCGATCAATATCATTTAGATAACCAGTGAATAACAGACAGCACTGGACAACTATTTCGTTCACTTTTAATGACATGACAACATCTTCACAAAACTGTCTTTTTTTTCTTCCTTAATAATTACCATTATTACAAATGACTGATTACTTTGAAAAATTTTTCTGTAAAAAAAAAGAATTTAAGTATTGATTTCACTAGCCATCTAATATTATGCTAAGATACCAATACCCTTAAGCTAATCGCAATGAATATAAATAAGATCCAAGTTAATCTTACCTAAACATCCAATGAAATCTGTCATATTTTTGATTTATCCTTAAATCTATGCTACAAACATATAACCAAGTTAGACTTATTCAAACGGCAGATCTAATATACATTCACATTTACATATAAATAAACACTAATTCTATTCTATCCCTTTGAAACTTGATACAAAGAAGAAAACAGACAAAAAAACAAATTTTTGTTTAAATACATGTACTGGCAAAGTGATATCAATTAGTTTCTTTAAGCATTCAAGTACACGCAAAGAAATAACAGCTTCTATAAGGTCACGTAACGTTAGACATTTATGTTTCATATAATAGTTTTCTTTCCCAGGTAAAAAACGGTTAACACTTCTTTTTTAAATGGATAACAAAATAATGTATGATCAAGTGAAGTTAGTTAAACTCACAATAAATAATATCATGATCATAAAATTGTAATGAAATTCATAGTATTTCCAGGTTTTCCATGGTGGTCTAGCTCCTATTGACTCATAAATTCAACTATTAAATTATTTAAAATAACCTGTTTGTTTAGAAAACTCCTCATAAATAATAGTGATTAGCATCTTAACTGACTAATGTTTCCTCCTAATTCAAGTTATAAAAAATATTATATAATAATTAGTCATTTTGCTTGTATGTCAATTAACTTCTGTAAAAGTTCTGGACAAATTAAAGAGTTTCATTATGATACGACTTCACATGGAGTGAGATCGAAAACCTAAAAGCACTAGAAAGTTGTAAGGTATGTTGATCCTAGATTCAACCACATTCTGAATTCATAGATTATTACTGCTGAGAAGTTTCAAACTAGAATAAAACAGTTTCCCAATCCTTCCAGATTTTCATAAGTTTACTAACTGATAATCTGTTTTCGTAAATAAAACACTCAATATCAATCGTGAATTTGTCTTCATAGTGATCTAGGAGTGAAAGAACTTAAAGTAGAAAGTATAAGTTTAGATATAATCATATCCAAGGACTGTTTTCAGTTAATTACGAGTACAGATACTGTAAGGTTAATAAACAAAATGGAGTAAAACTATTTATTACCATTCACAAGTAAAAGAAGTACAATTACAAAATACACTGGTTCAAGTTTATATGAATTTCAAATGCTAATTCAACTCTGAAAAATAAAATGACTCTAAAAAATATAATGGAGTTTTATGATGACAAGCACTTGCTTCCAAAACACCATCACTTACTAGCATTAAATAAGATATCTCATAATAAAAGCAAGTTATTTTATATTTGCTTGTAATGACATGTGTTTGGACGAGTACAATATACTGCTTCATCTTTTGAATAAGTACGACTTAGTAAATTACAACACTGACATTACCACATTTCTCATAGAAATTAAAAACCCTTGTTCACTCCTTTCTAATTACTGAGGGTTAATTTAATACAATGTCCGTTAACAGGTCTTCACATAAATTATAAAAAAATCGCTAAAACACAAATCTCATACTTGGCCTAAAATAGTAATTCGGCATTTTATACAGACTGCAAATCTAGTAAAAACTAACCGGCGATTCGCAACAAACTCCGCCTGGAGTCCCTCCGAGGGCTACTGCCGTTCGCAAGCCCGGAAAAAGGAGGAGGGTTGGGCATGGGGTTAACGACCCCATCCCGTAGAAAACTAACTCGCTAAAAAAACGCTAACCAGAAAAAAATTATTCTATTCGCAACAGCTACTTAGTACAGTTAATGTTGACATTCATCACTTCTTTACACGTTATTAGACTCTCAAACGTTTCTATACGCATTGAGTATTGATAATATTAAATTTCTGAATATTAAAACTAACTTTGATGATTAAAACAACTAACTCGGAATTGTCTCTCTCAGGTGTTCATCGAAAGGTCGCCAACAATGTGACACACTTGAACACGACAAGTTTTCAATGCCTCATACCAATAGGCACGTCAAATTCTGTCTGATCCCATTACTTTTCAGTAACTTTTGTTTCGATGATATGTCTATGATATACATGAAAAACATTGGTAAGAGAGTAGATCGTTTTGACAGAAAATCGTTCCGAAATCAAATATGCATCTAGTATTAACTTTTTGCTTTCATCTCAAATGTAATCCCATGTCCTCAAAAAGTATCTATATTTTGTGTGGTGCATCCTATTGTTTAGTGCTTAAATAAATTGTAAATAATAAATGTAAGTAGATATACTTTAAAACTTCCATTTCAGTTATGCAACAATTATAGGTAAGTCATAAACGATATGTTATAATTTAGCTTTCGCATGCGGTAACCAGATAACATGAAAAGTATCACAATAATAAATCAATATACAGTAAGTTTCAAGAGCTTGTCCGACACTTCAGTACCTAACAGAGATTCTAACAAACAATTTTAGTGGTTAAGCATAGATCAAAAACCAATGGCTCGTTCCCCTCTTACATATTAACTAATAAATTAACTGGATATGAAATTTAATGGTGACTTTTTAATTTACTAACTGGCGTTTTATATATTTGAAGGTTAACTAAGATTTCGGATCATCACATGATAAGAAAAACATTGTAAAAGTATGTATACATGCATACGATTACCGAATAATTAAGACTACTTTTACCAAGATTATTTACTTTGGTTTACCGTTTATGGTAAAGATATCATGAAGAATAGCATAACACGAACAAGATAAAGAGGCGAAATTGTGGAAACATTCGAGATATTTATCAGTATGCTGAAAAAAAAATAATTGCTGGACATAAATACATCTACCGTTTAATAGACATTAAAACGACACATTAATGCGGCTGCATTTACACTATAACCGATACCCGTCATAAATGATAGCAAATATAATTAATTAAATAAAAGCAATCGAAGTAGCGCCTTATTGGGTAGATTAGTTTTACAATCAATAGACAACAGATTCGAAATCCCTTCCATGTATCACTAGACTTAACACAAACTCGTACATATACAAACAACAAAATTATGTGTCAACACAGAGTACATGAAACTGTACGCATATACTGAATTAAATCAAATTGATCAACAACAAAAAAACAATCGATTATTTGACCATGATCCATTTAGGATTGAAAATATCACCTTAACTAATCCCATAAAATACTAGAAAATCAACTACTAACAATAACAAGAAAAAAATCAGATACATTGAATGATACCGAACATTTTAATTACATGTACAATATATGCACGGAGAATTTCCTGTGTTCAATTTATCAACAACACATAAAGATATAAAATGAAATCAAAAGAAAATTAAAATTTATACAAATACAATTTAGTAGGGGGGGTGAAGTCAGTTATTTATCAAATAATAAAATATATTCTAGTCATTTCACCGATGTTCCTTCATGAAGAATGTAAATAAACAAATAAATAAACAAAAATAATTTCTTTTAATAAATTATCGATATTATCAACAACAAACAAAGTTAGGTGGAGTATTCATTTAAAAAAAACAATCCAATCATTTCGTCACAAAATTTTTTTGTTAGATATGCGATATGTCTGATAAGTCGTAGTAGTATTGGTTGTTACAGTAATAGTAGAATCAATAATAGGGGAAACGGCAGTCTTATAACTAATAACTTCTGATGATGAAATTTCTTGATAATTGTTCGATAAAGATCTATTACGCCAACTGATTAAACGAGACAAAATGAAAATATTACAGGCAAAAAAGTTTAAAGATGCTATCCAAACGATTATCCAAATGATATGATTTAGAAATGGTTTTTGCAATGTACACATTTCTAGTGCATAAGCAGAAGCAAGCCATATACCTTGAGATCCAAACCATAACATTAAATTTTGTACTATAGCACGATATGGTGTAATACTTGAAGGTAGACGTATATCAGCCAAAGCAACTGGAAGAAGGCATATACTCCATAGAAAATACTGAGCCGTGCATACCTAAATAGAAGACAAAAATATATATGTATACACTATTAGTAAAATGGATTCAAACAAGCTCAGTTAAATGTGACTTTATAGTTTGTGATTATTTTTCGGTCATGACAGTAAAATTTGCTTCATACAGTATCTGAAACACAGTATTTGAAAACCACCGACATTGATGATGAGTGGGATAAGAATGGAATGAGATACCTCAAACTGGTCGAAATCAAACAAACTAACCACACTAGAACTAAAAATTGATCTGATCTGCATGAAACAAGAAAAAGCCTTAAGTAACAGCTGGAAAATCGTTGTAACTTTACTGGTAAATTTTCGTACGATATTTTAAAAATTTATACGCAAGTTACAGTATCTCGGAACAGTCTGAAGTTTCTTATCAATGAAGCTGTGGCTTGGTGGTTAAGCTATTTGACTTTCAACCGTTACATTATAGGTCCGATCCACTGCTGTTTCTAAGATCCAGTTGTATCACTACCTCCTAACTCCAAACTAAGTATATCACCCCTTTAAATTCCAAAAGGCTTTACATGTTTGAGTAATTCGTTTCCTGGATGAAGCAGTATAGACTGATAATTTGATATGCTAATTTTTATTTTAAACTAATTATATTTTGAAACAATGACAGAAAGGAGAGTCTCAGATGGGGGAAATCAGTTTGTGGTGAATATCATCTACAAAAACCTATTTGTCATATGGAAGGTCTAGAAAATACAGCATACATTATAGCTCTAGGTAATGGCTATGGAGATTCAGAACCCACGTTTCGTTCTATTTGAAATGCCTCAGCCGAATACAACACAAATATTCAGTATAGACACAGGAAAAATCGAAAGAATAATTCGTCATCGAAATTCAAAATATTTAACTCACTCTATTAAACGTGACAAACATGTAAGTAAGCGCGAACCAGCACAGACTTATGTTGGAATATAGTTTAAAAGACAAGCATGGAATTAGGATTATACACGGTATAATTGAGGTCACATTAAATAAACGCTCCAAAACCACAGGTGAACTAAGATTTTTTAACAACAAATTCCATATTGAGTAAGAATATCCACCATTATTAATATCACCCCAGTAAGCTATCAAAGTAGATAAATCGTTCCAAGCATTATTCAACCATTGACGTAAATCATATATAGGCAGTGTTTGTTTCTCAGCTATCCATTTCTTTCCAGAGAGTAAATAAACACTTAAAAAGTGTGGAGCAAAATTATGTTTAAAATCTGATCGAGTGAAGTGATAGAAATAAGCTTGTTCCAGAAACAACATTCCACCGAAATATAAATAACATAATCCAGTCAATATCGTCAAACTAAGTAAACAGCTGACACCAAAAAGAAAATGATTTCGATTTGGTAATTTGAATAAAATTGAAAACACACTTTGAGACTGTTGTGTCGTTGCTTCGTTTTTCTTTTGGTTATCTTTGTTATGACTATTATCAGTCATTATTAGCCATAAATAGATAGATGGTGCATAAATGATTGGAAATATACGTAAATGAATAGATAACCCATATAAAAATCCAGCTGGGATGATCCGACGGTTTAGAATACACCATAAGCATGCTAAAACAAAACAACTTTGTAATCCATCTGCATTACCACGAGCGGAGACTACTGATGTAACAGGATTGAATAACCAACTAAAACTAACAAGATATAATGCTAATTGATTTGTATTGAACGAAATAGAACTTCGTCGGATCTTTCTATTTTGATTGACAGTATTTGGATTTGATAAACTGTTCAGCTAAAAAAATGGAGAACAGAAGAATTAATTAAGAGAATATTACTACAAGTGAATCGATACTTGTTAGCATAACACCGTGTTATCAAGCTGCCTATTGGTTCGCGTCCTACTTGCACAGATCCAAAGAACGTACAGTCAACAATTTAGCTTTATAATATTATATTTATACTGAACGAATAAATCCTGGTTTATTTAAAGTGAACAACACAAAAAAAGATTTTAAAATCTTTGTTTCACCTTACAGACATAAATCAAAATCACTCACGTTAGAATTATGTCGCTTAACGCCATAATTTTTTAGTTTCTTATTTAGCAGTCTATGTTATAAAAAACCAATTGTGGAATTATGAAACAATCACTCGATTAAAATATCATGCAGTTTAATGCTCTAATCATACAATGATAGCTAAGTTATATTCACTAAAAATTTTCTAGAAAACTTAATAACATTCCTCTTGTAATTGATGTACGTTATCAATGATCATATTGTTTACCACATTTTACTGACTGAGACGAATCAATAGAAAGCTGTAGCTTTAGGCAAAACTTGCTAACCCAAAATAAATGTCATGGGATAAAGTGACCAACGTTTATTAAATAAAACAACATCATTATGTTTCACCAATATCCAACTCCTTCCCTTATTATCTACTCTGAAAGATAATTCAATTTTAGGGTAAGGAAAACACAAAGTTGGTGTTGGTAATACCTAAAGGGATTGAAAAAGATAGAAGGTGGAAAATGGTAAAAGAAGAGGCTCACACTAGGTCGCGAAACGCCAGAAATTCAATTTTCTACTCAATGGAACATTACAAATATGTTTTTTATTATTATTATTATTATTATTATTATCACTATTATTATTATCATTAGCAGAAACAATAATAATGATAAGAATAAGAATAAGAAAAACGGTAGCAGTATGAACGACCCGCACAATATTTAGTTTGTTGAAAATTGCTAAGTTATCGATTTGACCGAAAGATACTCGATCTTCGCATTACAAATAACTGACTTACTTAAAATTCATAAAATTAACTTTCTAAAAGAAACATTACAAAAGGACGATTACCATTGTGAAATCGTTAGCACTAAGTATTCATCAACTTACGACTGAAAAATCTAAAACACAAAATTCTGCAATACGATAAATTAAACCACCACTAGTTATAATCAACTATTCACCGATTTCAAACTTACTGCACAACTTGAATCAGTACAATAGGTAACTTCTACATAACAATTAATATTATTCAGTCGAGCTAATTCTGTGGTGATACAAACACAAATTTATGACATATCGTTGCACTTTTGATAAAAAGATAAACATTAACATACAACCTCGGACAGATATGAATCGGTCCAATTTTCTACATTGTATTAGCATGATCAAATGAATATAATAATAATAATAATAATAATAATAATAATAATAATAACAGCAAAAGAGATCAAAATGATGTAACAATGATAATAAGAATATGATTTGAAAAAACCAGAGTGGAAAGGAATGTATGAAGGAATATTGAAAGTCAAGATCTACAAGACAAAAAGTGAATGCATCGACTCAATTATGAATGCTTCTGAGCCATTCCCCTCAGTATCCAACCACCGACCGCGGTTATCGCGTGGACTGCAACCAAACAGCCTGCAGCTGTTGACATGGTTCAGAGCAAGTCAATGACTTCGTGGACTGACGCCACATCTCTGTTTGGTTGCATTCTCTCGTTACGATTGTTTTAGAAAATCATGCTCTTTCAGATGCTTCTTGCACTATCCTTGCGGATAACCAATAAATATGATTCAGCATAGGACCAAAAATAAATGTTAAACGGACATGATACCAGAATAAAATAAAGTATAACTTACAAACTGTTTATCTTGAATAATTCTATATTGTATACAACCACAGATTAAATCAGCCGTGATGAATAATAATTTACCCCAAAGACGAGCGAGAGAAGGAACAGTTATGTGTTTTGACGATCGGAAGTGTGATTCTACTGATACGTCAACAAAATTTGAACTGATATTCACTTCTTTTCTATCAGTGACTGGATATTTACCGTCAGAAAATAACCAGTAACCAGGAGCGAGAAAAACAGCAATAAGTGGTGAATATCTATAAGTGGGACGCTCAATGTAAATATTTTTCCCAGCAACAAAAGCTTGAGCAGCATCAGAAAACACATCGTAATCCACATCCGTAAATCGTAGTTGGCCGTCCGGCCAACGAACTGTATCCTGCCATACAGAGAAAATAACTAACACAAGTCTTAAAATTAAGGCTAGTATTAAACATAAATGGTAACAATTATAGTTTGTATATATGTTTGTAAATGTGTGATATCCAGGAATTAAAGATTTCAATTGATGAAGAGTTCCATCTGAATCCAGTTTGGAACTATCTGTATCTTCTTTTTCCACTGTTCTGTGACAAAATTGTTCCTCAGAATTATTACACGCTTTGGTAGAATCATTATATTTTCTTTGCTTTATTTCAGCAGGACACGTGTTCAAACTAAACCTGTCATTCACTTCCTTTTCCTTCATCATCCTCTGACGAATTCTTCCTAGAGAACCATGACATGTTTCAACTGGATAGTCAGGTTTATATTGTTTCAATTCAGTAGAACCGATATTGGAATCAAACCCCTCCTCTTCGTCACTGCCACCGGATGAATGAATATAATCCTTGCTGTCAACATCACTATCGATGACTATTATATCATCAAGTTGTTCACTAACGTTTCCGGCAGTCCTATTCATACTATAAAACAAAATAAGTGAACATCCTAGTTACCGTAGAATTCGAAAGTAAACATTAAAGATAAGTTGTATAAATGCGTTTACCAAAACTACTCAATAAACCTTTAAAAAAGCCTTGATTAGTTTTCAAGTGGATATTTTGGATTAGTGAGCTGAAATAGTTCGAAATCAAAACCTTCCTATTCAAATGTACTTATAACTTATATCCTACTTATATATACTTATATCCTAAAAGATACAACTCAACTTGAGAATGAGAAACTATTTTCTTAGGATATAAATAAAAAGTAATGAATACGAATTATTAAAACCATGATAACCACATAATAATAGCAAAATAGATGAAGTCCACAATGGAGGTTTTTACAACTCAACGAGATATACCGACTTTAGGACTAAAAATCCGCAAAATATTAAATTTTGTTAAGTATCGGTTAGCATTTTCTTAGGAAGGAATCCCAACAAACTTAATATTAAAGTATCATGTCGATGCTGACCGCAACACCAGAGTCAAGAAAAATCATTAAGATCATAAAAAAAAACAAGTGAAAATAAATCTGCTTTGGTTTTCAAAATCTACGAACTATCTAGTCCAGAAAGTGTTGATGAACTCAACATGACGGTAAGAGCATCAGAGTCTTTTTTCTCGTCCTAGCATTGATTTTAAAAACGAAAATTAACCAATATTACGGAATAGGTTGGTTTTAACTAACACGTCCAATCTTCATGACAGTTTCCAAACTAAGGAATCTGCAATCGTATGTGGATAATAACTTAAATTGAAAGAATTGGACAATCGAACCCGTTTTTACACCTGAGATAATTTTTAACATCGATCAACTAAATATTTTGCGCTTCGCTTTGCTTTAATCCATGCAATCAGCAATGAGAAACTATGTAGTAATCAGACAGAATAATACAAGTCCTAGTTCCAGAAAAAACACAGTAACAATCAACCGCCTTGGTGAAAAATAAAGAATTTTTGTGTTTTTTATACCCCTAATGTTCACATAAAACCTAAAATAGGGGACACTATTTATTCACACTAAACTGGTTTAGCTGTAAAACTTGATATAGAGTTTACTGTATATCCTAATATCAGTTTTACTCAAATTAAGATAATAATAAAGACAGTGATTGGAAACCTCCAATGCCACCCAGTGATGTTGCCCAGCTAGATTAAATAGCGCGCAATTGTTTCGCTCATCATGTCATTGAGTTTATTGACAATGAATCTTAACTGATTTATCAATGTTCACATTACCTCAGTTGTAACAAATTGCCTGAACGAACGAATAATGCAAATGACCGACGTATTTTACAACACTTTTAGTTCTGGGTAAGTCAATGACGTGAAACTCATGTATGTGGTTCCATTTTAATTTTCACTTTACTAGTAATAGATATGAAACTACTCTAAGTAAAATGTGAAACCAAACACATTTGATCAAAATGTATGAAAGTAAAGCAACTACTATGGAATAATTCACTATTTAGATTATTCTTGAACTATAGATTGTAACTGTAATATTATAACCACAGTAATTGTCAGAGCATAAAACAAGACCGTAAAATGCTCCAACCAATCATTATAATGTAATATGAGAAATGAAAACATATTTTTATCCAAATAAATTTATTCTGAAAAGTGAACAATACACTTGCTCAATCTAATTTAGTGTTAACTTTCTCATTAAAAAAAGTTATATTAATCAGTTGTATGATAACTAGAAAAAACTATTTCACACAACTCAATAAAAGAAAATAGGTCTCTTTTCATACTGAATTGAGATTTGTACAAATAATAAAAACGCACAAAGTAAAGATGAATAGTTGATTCGTAAAATTAGACGAACTATTTGCTGAAAACATTGCACGAATAATAAAAGATTTTCCCTGATTAGAATTGGCAATAGTTTAAGATTAGACAAATTCAAAAGATTGTCCGATGCATATACATATTTCTGGAGAAATAAAATAAACATTTGTAATATTAATAAACTATAGTTGATAAAATAAATACATGAATAAATGGTTAATATGTATAAGTACTTCTGATGATAAGGATGAAAACTTTGTTGAAAAACAATTAAATCAGATATTCTTTAAAAGTCAAAAACTAATTTACAAATATGATGAACTTGAAAATAACTATCTCAAGAACTGTGAACATAGATACTAATAACTTATCGAAAAGACTAACTTCATGATAGCTGACTTCCTAATTAATCATGTATAGCTAAAAGTTACTTCAATTAAACATTCTTACCTTTAAAAAAATGTCTACTACATAGTCCTAAAAAGATGCTTAAACGATATTATTTTATGAAGTGACTAACATATATGATATGTCATAAAGTTAGTGTTATAATTTCAGCATATTATAATCATAATAGTAAGAAGACCATAAGTATGTTGTAATTCATAATCTAATACAGATCCACGCTTCCAGTGTGATGAAAAGTGAAAACTGTTTAAAATTCCAGTCGAGTGAAAATCATATGCCCCGTATCTTAATAGTAATAATCAAAACAATGAGATTCTGATAAACTAAAGATCAACAATGTAAACACACAAACTAAATATAGACTTACGCATGCCAGTTCAATGAAAATGATTTCCAAAAGTATTGAAGTTTGATGAATTAATACAGTTGAATAACCAGTCATTATCAACTTGTTACATTTTCACTTTGTTTACTATCATTTAAAAATTTGAAGTAATTTTCTAAGCCTATTTTATGCATTGACCTGAAAACTATGTGTTTTCTAAAGGATTTGACACGACCAATCGCTGCTTCAACGCTTAAAGATTCTGTATACATGAAATAACAAGTTAATAAGAATGCTGAACGTGTACGACCGGCTTTACAATGAATATACACGCATCCATTTGATTGTACACAAGAGTTGATAAATGAAATTCCAGCATCAATCTTTTCAAAAATTCATAGAAAACAAAAGAATAACAAAATATAATACAATATGTCATAATTATCAGTATTTTTTTTTAAATACATAAACGTAGTTTGTAACACTAACACAATTGGTGAATAAATTAAACGGATGAGTAGAAAAGAAAGGCCATAATATCTAGTTAAAGAAGCAGATAGATAGACCTAAACAACATAAAACCTAGTACAAATTTGTCTCATTCTAAATCGCTATATTTTACACCTGCAAAGTGACAGGTAATCATTATGAGAAAATATAATGAAATGAATAATATAGCCTGAAGCATATCAAACCTTTCCACCTTAAAGACGCTTGACAGGTGAATCTCGCAAATACAGTAAGTTCATCATTATGGATAAGAGAAACGAAATAAAGAGAAGCAAACAACTTTGTGATGTCATCATTTAACTTTGCATTCAATAGTAAAATATTACGATTTTATATAAAAACTACTTTGTATCATGTGACTCCATCTTTTAATCGGTAAGAAACAAAACAATCAACAAAATTAAATATAGTAATTATCTGTATCTCTTATCTGACGATGAACAAATAATCTATATTTGAGATTAACTAAATAAAAAAATATGTGACAGAAGTGCATTGATTAAGGTTGACATACTGTTAACAAACGAGTTAACGAAGAATGAAAATCACTTTTGCATAAAAAATACATACCTGTTCAAATGTAGGAACTCCCACAAAGTCACGGACTGGTAGAGAGAGATATTTAATGCCTTGATTCACGGCATCCTTTTCTCCTATGACAAATGATTTTACTTCGAATGGTTCCAACAAGCTCACTATATGTGTGATATTTTCATCTGCCTGCCATTTATCCCAGGACTTTTTGAGTGGTAAAGCACCCACAATCAAAGAAGGAGAAATACGAGAGTACCATGGGCGCCCACAACAATAATTTAAAAACAACCCATAGGCAGTACTCACATAAAATCCAACTTCATTCATGAGCTGTAGGACCATAGCAAAATAATGATCAGAATAAGTATTCAACTGGATAAGAAGAAATAAATACTAATCACAACAACGCCAACGGATACCTTCTACATAGGCACGTAACCAAGATAGAGTTCATTACTTTGAAAAGTGTATCCATTTATTGAAGACACTGAAAACTACGGTATGAATAATACTTAAATGTTTAATAACTTCAGTAATAGGTACAACTGATTTGGATGACGAATATTTGGGGCATCAAAGCTTAAAATGAGTTTGGTGGATAATTGGGTATCGTAAAACGAGTGGTAATACTGTACACACAATCATTATCGCTAGTTGGTTGCAACGTAATCTATCTTATTCCATACATAAACTAATCGGAGGATGTCAAGTGATACATTGACGGCTATACTGAAAGATGAAGTTGACGAAAATAAGCTATAATTTAAACAAACTTCAAAAGACCATTCTATTATTCGACTTGTAATTAATAAATTTCTATGGCTCAACCGAATAACTCTTCTGTATCCGTACTCCTGATCTTTGGAATGAAATCGCCAAGCAATAACAAGGATTATACATAAAGTATGATCGAGTGAATGAACAAATTATCCTCGGTCGCTTCCAGAATGATAGAAAACACCACTTCTATTGTTACTAACACTTTGAAAAAATTTTGTAGCTCAGAATATCAAAAAGACACTGTTAATAAACATTCAGGAGATCGATGCTGCTTTGGTTATCATTTTTGATCAAAACCTGACGTCAGTAAGGACCGATACCGATGTCACAGTTTCAGTGGATAAATCTACATGCAATAACAAAGTCAAATACTGAAAGCTAGAACCTTATATACTAAGTAATTTCTAATGTCTTTTATTTTACCTAGAACTGCATAGCATTGCATTTTATCGATTACCCATAATAGCAGATATAAGACGAACTTTCTTAAATTTCATCTGATGTTAAAGGATATTCCCGAGAAAGAAAACCATATTCGCTCATCTCCACATAAATTAGTGTACCATACAGAAAAGAAAATTATATGTACCTTAGATTTTCAGTTAATTCTAAGCTTTTAAAAAGACTAAATTGAAAAGATAGACGTTATTTAGCCATTTTGGAAACCACTTAAAGCAACTGTCAAACTAAATGCGTAGGTAAATTCGAATGGAAGATTCTGTACTCAGTATATTAATAATAATCCCATCTACTTCCTGAGATAAAAGTAGCTCTCATTAGGAACATGACAACACTTAAATGATTCATTCATAAAGGTTAAGTATGTACCCATAACCCCCAGATTACATATTATTATTAAGGAATAGTCTTATGGTTGGTCTTTAAACAATCATTCAATATACATTTAAGAAAAAAATGACGATTATTTAAGTTGAATTGTTTATTTATTTTCATACAATTTCTTTTTCTCTAACAACAAAACTAACATCATATGTATATAAAATAACTAAGTATTATCCATTGTTTCTATGTTCATTTTGATACTTTCTCGAGCTCGTTGAAGATAATCACTGAGTATGACTTGTTTGTCTTTGCTTAAAGGTTCCAAATTGATGAAAAGCTATAGAAAAGACGAAAAACTGACAAAACATCTCAAAACAAACATGAAATAATAATGCCTAGCAAACACAGACTAATCGAATGTGAAGTTGTTAATTCAGATGAAAATAAGGCCTGTAATAAAAAAAATAATGTAGTTATCACGGATCTGATGGTACCAGTGTTGTTCCTCGATGGGGACATAGATGCTCGCTGCTGAGGAATCCCATATTAATAAGAAGCAATTGTATGGTGCTTCGTGATTGTCTAACTGATATCAGTTTCTAATATAAACTATGTAGTATTCATTAGGTTAATACCTTTACCGGTCAGTTCTTATTTCCAAATCGCATATGTATTTTGGTGCCTCCCTGTACCTATACTTATGTGTTAAAATAAATAAATAAATAAAATCCAAATCTATTGCATAGGATGAGGTATTTATCTTTGATATGAACAGAAAGTTGCCTTGGTTCAAAATATAGAATCCCTTGATTTTTCTAGCCTAAATCTCTTGAAATCCCAATTAACAAATGGGGTATATTTAATAATTGTGCTTAGCCCTAAGTTTAAATGGTTAGACTAACCATTATCTTCAGCCATATGATTATTTTTAACCCAGAACTGTAATATTTTTGAAATAACATTACCAGGAATCACTGCAAAAGAACATAAAAAACAGTAATTTGAAAACTACTGAAGTTGCTTTGAGTCCTCTAGGATGTCATATGAGAATGACTCCGGATATGTCCATATATTTTTAAAGCCACTAATTATATGCTAATCAATTAAGTCATAGTACATTTCAACAGAATTGCGGGCTGTATCAGGAAAATAGCATGCTTTTATTAAGTGGAACAAAAAGGTTATTGTACAGATTAAAATTACAATTAGAAACTAACAAGTTCCCACTAGTAAACAATGTGCGAGATAAAAATCTTCGGTCAAACAGTAAAAACTTAAACATTTGATTACAATACTGTGAATTTGTACCACCATTAATGCCCGGATAAGTTATTTAAGCTATAATTCAAAAATTACTGAATAAAATTTAAAAAATGTACTTACTTCAACATAATCCAGCAACTTGCTAATCTCAGATGGACTCATATTTTGTTTGGACAAATCCTTTGTATAATCCAAAACAGTCTGTATCGGCGGAGGTATTAAATCGACATTTGACTTTGTATGAACGGCAAAAGGACTAGAGGGTCTAAGAAGACAAATTAAACGAAGTATCCAACCTAAGCGATTGTAATGTTGATGCGCAAGAGTCTCATAAACAAGTGGTCCAGGAGAACCTAATTGAGCAATCATATATAAAGCTAAGGGACCGTAATAGCGTGTGTGTCGTAGTAGAAGCAATGGGTTGGTTAGACCGTTGGTTATTGATTCAGTGGTTTTCTCAAATGGAGTCCACGCTAAATGGTTCACACGTTCATAAACACGATGGCATATTCGACTAAAATGGGGGTCATCTGGTTCGAATTGAACACATGTTCTGTCCAAAATATACAAAAATGAGCCTTGATCCAAAAGTACCTGATAGGGAGGAATTAAATATAGAATAAAATGATAAAATCGTGTAAAACCCACTACCAGAAAAGTTATGTTTAGTTTTACAAAATAAACTTGTGCGTGCAACTATCTCATCTGTTTCCATCAGTACAACACTGAAAATGTGAATGATTTGGTGGATGTCTTTAAAAAAGGATTTTAGTGGTTTAAATACTTCATATTGTAGTCCTTTTTTCCTTTTTTGCATCTAAACACAGAGACTTGACTTGGACTTGAACTCCACTACTATAATAGTTTACGTAGCCAAATCGCATTGTTCCACTTCGCATGGTAATTTGCATTAGCACTAGTTTCCTAACTTAGTATTAATTGTGGAACGGGTTTGGTTGAACAAAACTGAATCTCACACCTAGAGCAGACAGAATATAACCTCAAACAAAAACACATCCGTCGGGTTACTACAAACAGCAAAAGCTTTGGTTTAATGTAATACAACGGAGTAATTAAACACAGGCTTATACACGACCTTAAACCTAACTATCTTCGTGAAGAATCGGTGAAATAACCTGGTTGGCTGCCCAAAATGAAGTAAACAAAGGTGAGTTTGATCCATCTGTCCCACAAATAAACCAGTAGTTAGTAGATTCACAGATGAGTGCTATACTCTGGTCTGTTTACTCTGAGCTTCATTCTATTCTAATCCTCCTTCAAGAACATCGCATGTAGTGACAGTGACGCCAGATGAGTGAGAAACAAGGCCTTGCAAAAATGTTGAGTTTCAGGCTGGGGAATTCATAACCAGCAAGGTACTTTATGGAATTTCGTAAAATCTATGAGGCGATATAGGCTACATCAAAATTCTGAACCCCGCCTTAGTTATCAGTATCTCGTTTCAAAATAAAGTGTACCTCAAAGTCTATTAAAGTAACCTGTAGTTGGTTATAAAACTGTGATGACAATAACCGTCCTTTCCATTTTCGCAACACTATCACTTCTGAAGAAAAACTTTAGGCGATTATTCACGTTTAAAGTGCTACGAAGTAACATGAACGATAACTTACATTTAACTGCTCGTCTTCAAACATCATGGGAATAAACAACTTCCGACCAGACAAAGGAAAGTAAACTTGGTTAATGCGATCACGTTCAAAAGGATCTGCGTGTCTTAAGTTACCATTTGACTCTCTAACTACTATGAGACGGTTCTTTCTGTCACGCTTTAGTGTGGTATCTGTAAAAACTAGTTTAATATTTCCCGGAATAATCCCTTGAAGACCACTATCTCGAGAAATGATTTGGCTATTTACAGAGGTTCTTGGGTTTAAAACAGGTGGCATCTGTAATTTTTGTTCCGTAAAAGCGGCAGTACATTTTTTGACCTTGTATAAAAGTTAGATAAATAATCCCAATCGTATTACTATATTTAATTCGGCATCAGTTAGAAGTTTAATACTTTCCTTCCCAGCTCTTCTATAGCGTCGTTGGTGAACTGTGTTTGAATCTATGTAAGTAATCAGACGTAAAAGGTTGTGGATTTGAGGATTCGCGAACAGTTCTTGGAGGCAATAAGATGACTGGCTATACTTTGTTGTCAAGTCTAAAAAAACTGTGAATGGGTAACAAAATTACTTGAATAGTAAAATCCTGCTGCTTGGAAAGGTTTTATAACCTTGTACATGATTTATAGCTCAGCAGTCACAAGAGATACGGAATGTACAGTAAAGTGTCACGAGTTCCGGGGCCAAATAGAAAACGTGATCAAGTCTTCATTGGTCCTAAACTGAAAATTATTTAAATGTAGCTGAAATAGTTTCTAAAACGAGTTTAACTTAATATTGAATTTAATAACACTATGTACGAAGAAAAACATACTCACTAAAACGTAGTCATTTGTAGGTATATACTAAATCCAAACCCATCCATCAAGTCCA